CGCCATCCAGGTGAATAGGAAATCGCTGAATAGAGCCGAAAGGATGAAGGAAAGAGAAGTGAGAAACAGGCAGGCTGGGAGACAGACGACCGTACGAAGGCATATCGTGAATGACATATTGATGGCTGGCAAGCTGAAGACTTGAACTAGAGGAATACTGAGCCCTTCATTCCTGTATAGCTTCTCCACTGAGTCTCTTTGGACCACGGGAGAAAAATTGGTGGTGATAGTCAATTAAGGGAACTGGTCTAGCTGGTGTTGAATCCATTCGTCCATTTCAAGAGGAGGCAAGATGTCTCAGGGTAACTAGAACTTCCCGTGGGATAGAGAGACATTGACGTGTGGCGGGTATAACCAAAGGAACGGTACTCCGTACTGCAGGCTGATACAGCTGTAGTCACATTCCTATGGAAGGCCTGGCAGCCCAGAGAGGCTGGTGAGACATCGTAGCCACTCGGCATGATGATTATGAAAAACTCGACATAGTGATCATGAGGTTGACGGGATACTGGCTCCATCGAGCTAGGGAAAGAAGGCTGGAGAGGGAGAGTCAATAATTAGCAATGGTGTTGTTGAAAGAGCATATATTGGCTATGATATCATGTAACGCCTGCCTCCCTTGAACATTAAACTCAGCATGGCCATCGAGTATTGATATTACCATATGGGCCATTCCCTGGGAATCGTCAACCTGATGCAACATGAATCGACCCTGGGATCTATCAGCTTTCAGCTTTCTTAGTAGCAACACTCACTCGAGTGAGGCAGCAGTGGATCACACCCGATTTCTCTTGTTGTTAATTAAAGGGCGACTCGGCGAATTTATTTGTGGAGGAGCCCTTATCGAAACGGAGTATGAGTTTTGGGATAGTTCAGTCGTTATCGCCAGTCCCGCAGAGCCTTTAACGGGCCAATCGCTCAACTGTTTCGATGACTTTAAGCGGAGGATGTACGGATAGTGCGCGCACCCTTGATCGATGGTGACAGCCAACAAAAATAAAAGGGTCTATTTGAGTCTGGATCGCACACGTATGCAAGTGGAAAAAGAAGCAGTCTATCTACCTAATCAGCATCAAGTAGAAGAGGCAAAAGAGGAGCAGCCGAGTACCCAGGAAGAGATGCCATACCTCAGTAGGTACCTAGGTAGGTAGGTTCCAGTGATTAGAAGGGAAAAAATCTGCAGGTGACACACAGGGCAGTTACCTATGCTTTTCGCAGATACTCGATAGAAGGCTATCTTATTCTAGGTTAGCAGGTGCAAGAGGGAGTAACTTACCTACCTGCCTGAGCAAAGCCAAAGAAAGTTATTCCTCTTGCTTCATTTGAATCCAATAGACCAGAACCATCTTCCTCGCTTTACCTGCAGGGCAGCGCCTCTCAAGCTCCACTGCATCGATATCCCTTCGACTTTCAACACTATCCCTTGAGGGCAACTAGTCGTGATAGATCCGACTACTCCGTGTAGTCTATTTCTTATTATTAATTTTTTTGACCCTCTGCAAAAGTCAAGGGACTGAAATCGAAGGCCTGAGCAGCGACAATTCTTTCGCGATGAGCAGTCCACCATCGTCCCCTTTGATGGACGCGGTCACCATCAGCGAGGACATCGCTCCATTGCCGTCCTCCAAGGCCAGTGGTGTTGCGACTGTCGATTTCGATGGCGTTCTCTCCAGTCCTCTCAAGGTGCACGAAGATGTGCGATCTGGTTGTGGTGGGCAAACGTGGCCCGCGGGAATGCTTCTCGGCAAGCATATGTTGCGTTACCACAAAGACCGTCTTGCTGACGCTCGGATGTGAGTTTCGCGCTCTTTTTTCAACTTCGACACTGCTATCGCATGCATGTGACTTGGACCGGGTCCTTTGTCTTGGTCTGCATAGACAGTGTGAGTATAACCAAAGACGGAGTAGACTTGCTGACTCGTTGGCCATAGATTGGAACTTGGAGCTGGCGGCGGTCTCATCGGCCTTGCCATCGCCTTAGAATGTCAGCTTCAGAATCAGTTGTTAGTGACGGACCAGCTGGAGATGTTTGAGCTGATGAAGCACAACATCGAGCTGAACAACCTACAAGACAAAGCCAAGGCGATGGTACTCAACTGGTACGTGAATTCGAATTTATTGTCATGTGTAACATCCTGCTCTGCCGTACCAATCCCCTGCTCAGATGAGGGCGAGCCACCAAGCTGACTGGTCTGTCCATATAGGGGCGAGGACTTACCAGCTGCCGTGCTGGAGCAAAAGCCAGACGTGATATTGGCTGGCGAATGTGTCTATTTCGAACCTGCCTTCCCTCTGCTGATGTCTACGCTTAAGGCTCTATTAGAGCTTAACCCCGCAGCTGTCGTGTACTTTTGTTTCAAGAAGAGGAGACGCGCGGACATGACCTTTGTCAAAATGGCCAAGAAAGCGTTTAAGGTCGAAGAAATATTCGACGAGGATAGGCCAGTTTTCCAGCGCCAGGGTCTTTTCCTCTTTTCTTTCACCAGCCGCTCGACCACAAGCCAAACCAAAAAAGAAAGTCAAACTCAACTGTCAAGATGATGAAAAGGTCAAGGAACACTTTGTCTACACAGCATCTTTGTTGGCATACGGCTGAAAACTATCCATGCATCGCTAAGTCCTGACGCGGAGACCCGACTGGATGCTTTCATGAGGAAACACAGTGACGCTGACAGGACCTGCATAGTAAGTCTGACCAACAGGACTTCAATGTAACATCGGCAAGGGTTCTTGAGTCGACTCATGATAGTCCGCCTCCAGTATTGCTCCGAGTATGTGTCGTTATGATGGAGGTACATGAGCCCTCAAACTGTTGACTTTGCCCCCGATCCGAGGGTTCGGAATTCGTGGAAGAGAGAATAGAAATGCAGAGCATCCATACCTGCGTTACAGACTATCCTCCGAGCGACATGTGTCTGAGACTTGTCTATCGTCTTTGTTGCAATAAAAGACACTGTACAAGGTGGACCAATGAAGTCTGTGCTTATTAGCAGAGAAAACCAAGTCATGGTGGCCTGCATCTTTCTCAAGAAATTTCAAGCACACCGTAAGATTTTCATCACATCGCATCACAGTGAAAGCGCATATATGTTCACACAGACAACGAAGTAAGCAAAGGGAATAATGACTTGGAGCACGACTCAATAAGTGAGAACGTCACGCATGCATTGGCGCCAACATTATGCCGAACGACCCAGCAAGAGAAGGCGGCAAAGAAGACTTTTTATTTCCCTCACACCACCGGGTTTCCTGGTACTTTCTTATGTACTCCGTACGCTTCTAGGCTTCTATTGCTGCAAGCCATGTCAGCAAAGGCAAGTTGTTGGGTCGTTGATGGATGAGTGGATGAGGTGGCACCCAGACTACCATATGAAAACGTTGCCCTGAACCTGGGAAGAAATGGGTCTTGTTTCAACTTGGCGTATGGCGTCCTCCACACCTCCCGGATGCACGTTGGCTCGTTGAGTGCTTTCAAGCCTCTCAAGCCTCTGCGTTTCGGGCCAGGCACAGGGCGCCAGCGAACAGGACAACTCAGAGATCGATTTACTGTGTCTCCCCCTCCACCAACTTTGATCCTCCATGAGTGTCAGATGTTCCTTGTTTTCTCGCTCTGCAGACCTCCCGCCATCGTCAGGCACATATAGACTGTCATTGGCTGCCTCTTAGCCCTGACAAGATCTAACTCGGAAGCTGACGACAGGGCGGCCCCTTGCAGATTGACCAATCACAACATCCTGTGTGAGAAAACATGCCTTGAGTCGGACCACTGGACCGCGTGCGTTCTCCGTAAAGGTGGTGCGGGATGAAAAATCAAGTTGTTTGATGATTCCGTTCAATACCTCTCCAACTTCGCTATACTGAGATGACGCGGCCCGCAATACGTGAGTCGCTACTCCGTACTCCCCGCAAAGCCGTTCTCAGATGAAGCAGCTAACTTAGCTGATTGAGGACGGGCTTTGAGTCTGTTCTGAACGAGGAGGCTGGCGATCAACTTTGCATCACAATACAATGAATGCCCCCTGATGGTGCCACGGCACCCCTGAAGGGCGACAGGGTTGATTTTGCTTCTCCTTGTCCTCTCCGCAGGCCTCCTTCTCAGGCTGTGTAGCGCTCTGGCTTTTTTTTTACGTAGCTGTTAGGGCAGACCGTTTGCATGGTTCAGGGAAGTGTTTTATGGCTGGCTCCAGCAGATCCCAATGGCCCGGTGAAAACCTCCTGAGGAGCGAAAGAGATGGCAGCTTGCCACGTCCGTGCTGTGGCCCGTTTCGTCTCCACCATTAACCTTGGAATAAGGCCAGGCACGAGAAAGACTGGCTTGGAATTGGGTGTGTGGGCTCTGCTTGTGGGTGGATTTCTTTGGGAAAAAACCACGCGTGGCCAGGCCCCCCCAAAACGGAACTCCCTCTCAGCTCCCACTACCGGGGATGAATCCGGTACGCCGCTGCCTGTGGTTCTTTTGCCTACGTTGCGGTACCCTTGACTCACAAGTTCCAGCGGGTTGCTTGCGGACACACTGCGTTCAGCGCTGGTTATGGATGGCACACCTCCAATCTTCGGTACCTGGCTAAGACTAAGAGTAAGGTACTAGTTTAAAGCCAAGTCTTTTAAGAACTAGCATAATGAGCCGGCGCCGTCTTTTACGGCGAGGCGTAGTATTAAAGGAAGAGTCGGTTCCTCCCCTTGTTTCGTTTCTTCACCTACGATCTCTTCGAGTTCAAACACCACTCATTCCCACCTGAGCACTGAGCAGGACTCTCTCTCTCTCACGCACACATTCCCTCACACGACGATCAACGTCCATTCCTTCAATTCTTTTTTGAATAGATTCATTCCTGTGGAACAGAATCGAAACCATCCTTCCTTTGCCTAGCAATCCATCGCGTTGAGATACCCTTTCGTCTACACACCAGACGTACCACAGCTACAGCCACTCTTTGGTTGAATAACAGAACTCGAAAACAACAACAACAACAACAACAACAAACTATCCATATATCAACATGAAGTCTTTTACTCTTGCTTCCGCCTTCTTCGCCGCTGCGGCTGTTGCCCAGCCCCATGCCAACCCTCACGGAAACCACCACCGCCGTCACCACCAGAACGAGAAGCGCGATGTTGTCACCGAGGTTGAGTGGGTGACTGAGATCGCGTACGTTACCAAGATGGTCGACGCTACTACCACCGTCTGGGTCCGACCTGAGGCCGAGCCTACTACTGCTCCTCAGCCCGAGACAACTCAGGCCGCCCCCAAGAAGGTTGCTCCCAAGAAGGAGAAGAAGCCTGCTCCCGTCCCTACCACTACTCTGGTCACCAGCGTCTACACTCCTCCTCCTGCTCCTAAGACCACCACTGAGGCCGAGGCTGCTGCTGAGCCTACCTCTCAATATGTCGCTCCCGTCGAGCCCACTACCCAGGCTCCTGCCCCTAAGCCCACCACTCAGGCCCCCAAGGCTGTTGTCTCGGCCCCCAAGGAGGAGACCGAGCCCGAGACTGAGGTCGCTCCCGTTCAGCAGGAAAAGGCTGCCAAACCTTCCTCAGGCGGTAGCTCCTCTGGCAGTAGCTCCTCTGGCGGTTCTGACACCAAGAACGGTGAGTTCACCTACTACGATATTGGTCAAGGTGCCTGCGGTCAGGACGACACTGGCAAGGATGACTCTATCAACGTTGTCGCTCTCTCCCACCTCCTCATGGGCGAGCTCTCCAACAACAACCCCATGTGCGGCAAGACCATCACTATCAAGGCCAATGGCAAGACCTGCCAGGCTACCGTCGTCGATAAGTGTATGGGCTGCGCTATGGACGACATCGATGTCAGCCGAAAGGTCTACGAGACGATCTGGGGCAGCCTCGACTCTGGCCGCACCGAGGTCGAGTGGTGGTTCAACAACTAAGCGCCACGCCAAACACGTTTTCTTGAATCATGAAAACAATACGAAGGATACCCTTTTCTTACGACTTGTACTTTTCATGAAGCGGGAATCTCTTCACCCCCGAAGGCGCTGGGGCGTAAGACATAAAAAAGGCACTTGGGTACCACTTGGACCTAGACCTGGAGATTCTGGATTGGGGTGTTTTTGGTTTCTTGGGCGAATCAGCTCCGGTTGACAGTCGTCGACTTCTACGTACATAAACTTTGTATACGCCGTTCGGATAGACAAACAATACAGCACCCTCAATCAGGGACTGCACTTTTGATAACGTTACGTTATGTTGTGTGATGTGATTTCCCCTCAATTATTATGACATGTCGCCTAGCATTGTTTATTTTGATTCTAATCTAAGGGCAGATGAAGCGAACGGGTTTTTAATTTGGGATCCTGGCTTTATGGTCGCTACTCCATGCCTACGGCCCTACAACGACCTCGTACTCTGCCAACCCATGTCTTTAACAGGGTCTGGCAGCGATCAACTTGAATGAATTCTCGTTTAAGCTGAAACTTGAACATTTAACGATCAACCAACAGAAATGGGGAAATTGACTCTGCTAATGAATATCGCTCGGGTTCATAAGGACGAACTGTTGCACTAAAACAAATTCCTTGTCGGTGGTCGATGTCATAGCACGGTTGGTCAATAAACAGCTCGTATCCAGGGGTGAATGGGAGGGTACTGTCTTGAAGCTGGAGTAGTCTAATGAATCCACTCCCTTCAGCTAGGACTTTATCGATGATCCCTCGGCCTCAGTGAGGATTCACGTAAGCGAGGACTGGAAAGTAGGCTGCGTTGCACAAAAGGATTCCGATCCGTCTTGAAAGGGAGAAAGGAAGGGTAAAAATAAACGCGGTTGGCTACTAGTTAATGATTCTATGCCTTACGGAGGCGTTTTGGATACGAGCTATCGATACGGGTAGAAATATAGGCATTGTCAGACTCTCAAGACTCGCCCCAGCCGCGCGTGTTGCGTATGCGTAACATGCATATACGTATGTATACGTGACGTCTGTCGTACTGCATTTATCGTCTGCGTATTCTTGTGCTCATCCAAGAAGGCGTAAGTCATGAATTTAGTGGAATGCAGTGTATTCTGAAACCTTCATAGCAGGCTCAATAGTTCCTCCACGTAGCGGCGTGTATCGACGCCGATGCCCTGAGCGAGCTTACCTGCACCCTCCGCGGAATCTGTACGGAAACCGACATGGTCGCTTGCGCGGCGGATGAGGAAGATTTCCTTGGCAACATCCGGATGCCGGGGATCGGGTCCAGAATATTTCCTCTCTTCTTCATCTTGTGAGGTGTCCTGGTCTGTATTTGGGCCAGCTCCGCCTTCGTGAATTGTAGAGAGATTCCCAGTGCTAGCATCCTCTTGACGATCGAGCAGACGTGTCCAGACGATCCACCATCCACGGCTGGACTTTTCGGTACGCTCAAGAGCAGTTGAACGTGACCTAGTACCAATGTAGAGATTGACCAGGTGAAGGTGAGTGCTAAGAGCATCAGGACGGGACCACGGTTCCGTATCATCGTAAACTTCTGGTATGTTTGGTATTGATGAATGAACCGTCAACGAGACGGGATCCCAGATGAGATCATATATGTTGTTTCCAGAGTGGCTACTGCCAGAACCTGCATCGGTCCCAGGACGTTCAGGACGATAGCTTGTTGAGAGGAGAAGAGCTTTGCGTAAAGGAGAGAGTTGATGGTGAAGGGAGCGATAAAGTGAATCCATAGCAAGGGAGTCGGTTCGTAGATTGAACAGAAAGGTGAACATGAATGGTCGGTTAACGTAGACAACAACGCGTAGTTTCTTTGCCTTGTTGAGATCGTGGGAGTCGTAGCCAGGTATCATATTCCCTACCACCTGCGACTGCGTGAGAGCACTGGCCGGATGCTCAAAGTCACGCACGGTTATGGCCTCTGGTCTATCTAGAGCCTCGCTCTCAAGCTCAATGTTTACAGTTCGCAAGACAGTACGAGAATTGTTTGCCCCGTCGCCAGCGTCATCCGAACTTCCACTTTCGGTTCCGCTATAATCTTCATTGATCTCCCCCTTTAAACCAATCAAGTAGTGGCCAGCAGCTTCATACGAAGGCGTGCGTTCCGTGAGGCTGGGCCGTGCCAGTTTGGTTGTGTCTTGAGGAGGTTCAGGATCCTGCTGCGGACTCTCGGGCTGTTTGGTAGAAGAATCGCTACTACCAGTGCCGCCAGGTAAAGACCAGTATGTGCCATAACCTAGCTTGAGATAGCTAACCATCTTTTCCAGTTTGCCATCTTCAGTCTCTTGGATTTGGGGCCGGTCTTTGTCGGAACTCTCCCCAGCCTGTTTCCCGGCTGAGGACTTCGTGAGTTCGCTCTCTGGTGCCCTTGTTTGATCCTGGGCCGCTTGCTGGCGATCCGCTGCCCGTCGCCTTTTTGCGCGCCGAACCGATGTTGGGCTCTCTATGATACCATAAGCGTGGTTGCCCCAAGTGTATAGATCCTCCATCCAGTGAGTAACGTCTCTCACTGATTTTCTGGACAGAGCGCCGGTACCCAAAAAGATGGCACCGTCATCGGGGCCAGGTTCTCTTCCTGTTCCTAACCATTGCTCAGGGTCGCCATAGGGGTCATTTGGAGGAGGCGATTCGGGGTTGTAGTCGCCGAACTTCGAAACGACTAGATCGACGAGCCCTTCTATTCTCCCGACAAGTCCTTCCAATACGGCTCGCTCGCCGCTACCGCGTTCTTCCTCGCCGACGCCTACGCCCAGCTCACCAGAGGCAGCAATGGGGATGCCCCCAAAAATGTCACGAGCTGGGTTCCCATGCATCATGACATTCCAGGTCGAAAGGTAGAGATCCCAGTATCGACTCAATATAGTGATGAATTTGGTTCTCTTGTTACGCACGAAGAGGGCGCTCAATGACGAGTCATGATGCATGAGGAAGATGCTATGGGCTCGTAGCAGATCGCGCAACAACAGGCTCGCGGGTTTCATCTCGCGACTGGAGTATTCATATCGTTCTTCGGCGGCTTCGCTCTTCTTAGTAGTGAGCCGAGGAGGGAGAGGTAGTTTGGTAAGGTCGATGCTCTATTGTCATTGGTGAGTATGGCGTTGAAGACAACAAAAGTCATGGTATTCTTACTGCTAGAATCCACCAGCCAGGTTCGAGTTCATGTAGTATGACTCTTGACTTCTCGGTGTCGATAGTGTCAACCGTTGAACCGCTCGCAAAACCGCGGCTGAAGCTAGCCATACCCTGGGCAAGGCCAATCTGTCGCAAACGCTCGTTTCGCTCTTCTGGGGAGATGTTCTGGGTCAGTTGGCCACGAGTGCGCTTGCGCTTATTATGCGCGGCTTGTGTTGTAACAGAGGCATAGTAGACGATCTGATCTTCGATGGTTTCGTCGGTATTGCCAAGCGTGGGGTTGAAGATGGCAAGGAACCCGAGCTGCGCAGGCACGACGGTCCCCGGTGCTGGGTTAGTAGTGCCTGAAGCTGAACGAGAAGCCATTATTGCCATGTACCGCGTCCTGTCGTCTTGCGAAGCCCTCGGAAATCGTGCTGCTTTGTTTTGATTTTTGCGTTGGAGATGCTGCTGATGTGACTAGGTAGTTTGTCACTCCCAGTCAATTCTGACGTAGATCGGCGATCGTAACAGCACGAGCCTCCAATGAAGCTTGCAAAACCGTCACGGCGCCTCAAAATAACGGGCGCAGATAAACATACACGGCCGAAATAAGAGAATGAGTAGAAGGAAGAAAGGAAGGAAGATAAGAAAGAGAAAGAAAAAAAAACAGAAGAGAAGAGGGAAGGGAATGAGGGGAAGAAGGGATCCGGCTGGATGTGGTTCTCTCGCATGTACTGTAGTTATCTATCAGTTTGTTAGAGGCCCAGGTCTCGATCTTACGGGCGGATATGTTTGTGGTCGGAGGTTAGGTATACCCCGACTTCAACACGATTGGACACATTAAAAACGGCCTCTAATTGAGCTCTGTCATGTGGGACTCGAGGAAGGTAAGGTACTACAGATGGGATCGAGATTCAACGGCTGGACCGAAGAAATGGAAAAGGGAAGGTCTGGACAAGAGAATGCCATTGTATTGGATGCCCATTTCCATTTCCATTGTTGATTGTTAAATTGTTACATGGGTCAGAGTCTCGACCGCGGGGCAAAAAAGATCTCGAACTTTAGATCAACATAGCATTTCCTCTATTCCTTTCATACCTACCTAGGTACACATTGTGCTATTTCAACAACGCCATGATTGAGACTGTCTGTCGCCTCCACTGTCATATTCCCTAACATACGAATCATTAATCAACTCCAAACGTCGCTATCATACAATCCAAGGCAGTAGACACCAGTGGTGTCTTCAATAATCAGTACTTGGCCTATTCATTCCTTGCACCTATCGATTCATCTTTATCACCTTGTCCGAAGACAGTCTGTCTCCTCTTTGCCATCGCATACGCCTCACTAACACGCTCGCGTTGGTCTTTCAGTACTTGCATCGGTGACCGGGTTTGATCTTGAGCCTTCATACTCTCAGTTCTGGGAAAACCCCATCTTCTCCGCTCTCTTCTTTGGCTCCGGTCGAAGCTGGAAAACTCAGCCCACATAAAATATAGTATAAACGTGATGAGGGTAAGTGGTATGGTGACGGCCCAGTATAATCGAAACTGCGGTGTGGTTTTGATCCCGATATCTCCTCCGTCAGCTTGCGCACTGTCCCAATCGAAGAGATCGGTCGAGAAGAGAGCCGAAATGAAACTGCCTGGTAAAAAGAACATTGTCACAAACGCCAGTGTCTTCATGGAAGCAGCGTCGCGAAGAGTAGATATGGAGATGATATAGTTGGAAAGGCTGTAGTTCTCCGATATGAGATTATTCAACTGGCAAAACGTCAGCATCCTTGTGGTGCACCTCTCTTTAGGGCCGACATACCACATCGATTTGGATTTGCACTCTCTTCAAGGTATACTCCCTGTCCATGGCCTGCATCATCAACCGTTTCTGGAGAACGCCGACATGGTTCTTCATCAGCTTGTCTGCTTCAGGGTTCGAGCTTCGGCCAAGGCTCAGTCGTTGCTGGACAAACTCGAGAAGCATCTGTAGCGTCTTATCCTTCCTTTCTGTACTCGCTAGGCGGACTGCGAATCCGCTCATCTGTGCGCTGAGTGTGCCTAGCTCACCAGCCGCGATATGTTTCCGTTCAGTCTTGAAGTCTGAGTACCCTGTCCGCGCTTCTATCTGCTGAATGCCAGGCTTCATGTTGTTTTGCGTTACCTCGATCTCTCCATGGAACATGAAAGCAAAGAGGAATGCAGGAAACATGGCATGGCTTGCTGTGCTAAGGCTCCATTTGCTTTTGCTCTTGAGAAGCTTCTTCAAATAATGCTGCTCTTTATCGCCAGCCAGGATCATGCCGTATGTAACACCTGATCGCAAAGAAGGTGGCCTGAAACGAGTATGCGACCATATAGACGCAAGTTTAGGCGCATAGCAAAAAGTGTAGGCCTGGTGGTTTGCTTCAGACTTGACAATCTCGGGAAAGGCATTGACGCCCGCGACACAACTCGAGAAGTAACTATATGCAAGCTCAAGACCAAACTTATCTAGAATCTGATTCTTGGTATCTTCGGGAAGCTCAACGCAGTTATCGTCGAGGATGAACTTGGGCCATATCAGGCGCAGAATCAACGACTCTGGTCCTGTTGTACCTGTTCGCGTCTCTATGGCCAGCCAGGAGGCGACATCAGGTATTGTAGTGATTCCTTCATGGTAGTCGACAATGCCAGTATCATCCCTTCTCCAAAGCTCACTGTACTTGAATGAGAGCACGTCGTGCGTTTGGACGATTCGCCGTGAATTGAACTCGGCGATCTTGTGGTATATCTCATCCATGTGTGCGGAGCGTTAGCGTCTCAGAAGGCAGACTGGCGGCTCGGCGCGTGAGACGAGAGGCTTATGAGGCTGATTGCGACTACTATACAGATGAACAGGCGTTTTTCTTGTCGGAATCGTCTGTATATATGGCCTGGAGGGCCGAGAAATGAAAGCTGAAGGCGTCCAGTCTGCTGATACTGGCGAACCGCTGGCGATCTGCCGCTTCAGCTGCTCATTTCACTTGCCTGCATCTCATCGCCCAGAGTCTGAGAGGAAATCTGCTTGTTTCGGGGGCAGCCAATGGCCCCAGAGCAGTGAGACATGGGGGGTTGATAATCCTTGCTTCTTGAAATAGACTGGGCGTCAATTTTTAGAAGTTGAATCGATAATAAGGCAAAACAATGCTTTGTTTCTCAGCTACTGTTTAATCCGTTCGCTGGTTCATTCTTGATCTACCTCGGATCTTCAGTTACCCTTTTCACGACCAGGACAATCGCGATTCAACAGGAGTCGAGTCTCTAGAGCTGAAGCTGTAGCTCCGCTTCAATGCGGTATGTCAGCTTTTTAGCTTGCACTGCCACTAAGTAGTATTTTCTCGGGCAGTTAATCGAGGCTTTGATGCCTCCTTCTGTAAAACAGGACCTATCCGACTCGGTATGATTCTCTACAAGGGAGTGGTCTAAGAGAGGAGAGGACAGAAAAATTGCCATCGAGAACAGTTTCTTAGTACCTACAAGTCGTCTTGGCTGAGCCCAAGCTCAACAGCTTCCGCCGCTAGACTAACCCCAGTTAAGAGCTATTGAACTGCGTTAGGTCCCTAGTTAATTATTACTGTACCCCGCAGGTCCCTTGAACATCCGTCTTGTCCGCTGCAAGCTCAGCCCGTAGATCCAATGCAAAGCATGGCCTGCATCACATGCATCGACACAAAGAGCCCAGCTTTTGCATTGCCATGAAGGGATTAAGGAGTCGAGCTTGTAATAGATTCGGGGCCGAGAGTGAGTGCCTCATTATGGTCCCCAAGATCTATAATTTAGTACCCATAGAGACCCTTGTAAATGGACGTAAACGCGCCTACGTCATCCCCGTCATTATCGCCAGCATCATCTCACTTCGTACCTACTGTAGGTAAGCTCCCCCCCGCCGCTGACTGGACTTGCATGTTCCATTTTCTCCTCCTGCATCATCCCATTCATTCAGTCCATGTGCACATAAACCTACAACATCAATTAAACACCAATATTGCTCACACCTATCGGCCCTCAGGCCCATATCCATCATCATGGAATCTTTCTCTCTACTCAAGCGTCGTACCACCGACCTCCTCCACAATGTCCAGCAAAACCTCCCCTCGATGCCCATGCCTTCCGTTCCACCCGCTCCCTCAGCAACTCACCAGAAGAAGAGTTCTATGAAAGGGACATGGGAGCGCATTGATGTCCCTGAAGTTCCCCGTTCTTCCCATTCTCTCAATATTGTCCACGGAACCGCTTACCTCTTTGGCGGGGAGATCGAGCCCCGAAAGCCCGTCGATAATATTATGCATGTCGTAACTTTGCCTTGGTCTTCGGCTGGAGCCGACTACTTCAAGATCAAGGCATCCCCAGCCAAGCCAGATGCCCAGCCGAAGAAGGCTGAGATTCAGCAACCCGTTCAGCCAAAGGCCCCGGAGCCAGTCAAGTCCGACGAGAAGCCAGCCGAAGAGGAGATCGAGAAAAAGCTCGACGAGGTTTCTCTTGCGGAGGATGACGAAGAAGAAGAAGATGATGATGATGAAGAAGAAGAAGACGAATCCTCAGATGAAGAGGCTGAGAGCAAGTCCAAAGGTAAGCAGCCTGCTGGTCCAGAAAAATCGGAATTAGGCGATGTCCCAGCTTCACGAGTCGGCCATGCTACTGCTGTCATCGGGTCCCGTATCTTTCTCTTCGGTGGTCGCGGAGGTCCCGATATGCGACCTCTAAACGAAGGTGGCCGAGTTTGGGTCTTTGACACTCGCTCCAACACATGGACATATCTTGACCCTGCCCCTGTCGTTCCAGGTGGTGCAATCGTGCCCCAGCCCGCTCCGCGAAGCTATCACACAGCCACATCGATCGACCGGCCCCGAGACTTTGCTCCTAAGCGGCCCAAAGAACCTGAGACCTGGGGGCAGTGGGCACTCGGAGACACCTCTAAGACGGGCATTCCTCAGGCTCCTGTTGTTGGTAATGTGGCTGAAGATGCTGTGGATGAGGAGTCTGATGGCTACGGTACCTTCTTCATTCATGCTGGATGCCTCACCAGTGGCGAGCGCACCAATGATATTTGGGCCTTCAACGTCCATGACCGTACTTGGACTGAGCTTCCAGCTGCTCCAGGCCCTGCTCGAGGCGGCAGTGCCATCTGTGTGAGCAAAACCCGCCTGTTCCGCTTCGGGGGCTTTGACGGGCAAAGCGAGCTTGGAGGGCAACTCGACTTCCTCCACCTCGAGGTTGAGACCTTTGATGATAGAGGTACCAAGGGTGAAGTTGCGGTACGCGCGCGTGGTGGTTGGCAAACCATTCTCGAGAGTGATCCAAATACCAACTCGACTGAAATCCACGCTGAACCAGATCAGATCTGGCCTGAACCCCGAAGTGTCGCATCTTTGGAGGCAATTACTTCAGGGGCTGGATACGAATATCTTGTCCTGACCATGGGTGAGCGTGACCCAAGCTCAGAAGGCCACGAGGGTGCAGGCAAGTTCTTGAACGATGTCTGGGCTTTCCAGGTTCCGCCTCTGGGCATGACAGCCGCCAGCGTTACCGCTGCCATGTGGCAAGCTGTCGGCCGTAAGACAGGTGAGGGAAAGTGGACGAAGCTTGATCTTGAGCCATACGACGATGATAACAGTGATGAGATGCCTGTGGCGAGAGGCTGGCTTGCGAGCGCCCCGATGGTTGAACTTGAGGAGAGCGGCATTTTGATCTGGGGAGGTTTAGGTGAAAACAATGAGCGTCTTGGGGACGGTTGGATCTTGCGTGTGGGCGATTCTTAGGTGAAAATGATGAGGGATTGAGTAGGTAATTGGTATGGATGTAGTATTCCTTTTTGGCGTAATATGTTCTTTGGCAATTGTATCAAACGAATGACTGGAACGAAGAAACAAAGTCCTATGCAGACGCAATACTTCACACAGCATATCATATTAACATTGACGAGAATCCACGCATTCTATACCTGGGAAAGCATTTGACATGACGTTATGTACAGTAGAAGCCTCCTCCCGCCGGACACTTTTTGCATTTCTTGCTATTGAACTAAAAATGAGAGAGATAATTGTTAAAATTCTACAGGTCCGCCCTTGTGGTCTCGGTTCCCCAGGGCTCCGCGTTAAGGCTTGTTTGGCCAGCACTGTTCTCGCATGTGTCTCGGCTGCTGAGAGGACCAGGCTTGGGGACGTTGACAGTAGAAGGATCGGAAGCAGTAGCCTGTGCCCGAAGGGACTTGAGGAGATCCTTCACGGAGGCGGGGGTGAGATCCTCGTAGTAGTCGTCGTTGATCTGGATCATGGGAGCGTTGACACAGGCACCGAGGCACTCGACCTCGAGAATGGTGAAGAGACCGTCGGCAGTGGTCTGGCCCTGCTCAATTCCGAGCTCCTCCTTAATAGCCTTGACGATGACATCGGATCCACAGCCTCCAAGTTGGCAAGGTGTCTATTGGTGCCGTTGTTAGTGGGTTGTGCTTTTAGAGTATTCGGGAATCTTCAATGACGTCTAATCGTCATCGCCAGACTAGCGTGAAGCAATTGCAATCGACCAAGGCGTCCTTCATGCAGAAAAACAACATACCGTAGTGCAGATTTGAACAAAATATTTGCCCACGGGAGTTCTGTTGTACATGGTGTAGAAAGAGGCAACCTCGTACACTCGCATAGGAGGCATCTCAAGAAGACGGGCGACCTCGTTCATGACGCTGATGCTGGTGAAGCCGTGCTGGCGCTGGCCAAGGTCTAGCAAAGGCATGACAGCAGCCTTCTTATACTGGGGAGGGTATCGCTTGAGGATCTCGGCAATGACGGTCTGGTTCTTCTCGTTGAACTTAAAGGGGATGTCGGCGTTGTTGTCCTCGGTGTTTCGATGCTGTCATACGGCCATAGGTCAGACAAGTTGGTTCAAATCGCTAGAAATTGCGCGCCGATAGATCTACCGTGATCTATGGTCCAGGGTCGCAATTGACAGCGCCAATTGGCCTACTTACCACCATGAGAGTGTCGCTTCGTCGGCTTGCTGTGAGAGAGAAGGCGGCGCGAGACTGAGGGCGGCCAGCCCGGCACACCGGCCGGATGGCGGAGCGGATGAGGGGAGTAAGCTTGCTCGCCATTGTGAATAGTTTAGGGGTGCTTTTCCTGAGCGAGCGGAGCGGGTGTCGTCGCGAAGGCGGGAGGGCTTCCAAGGTCGTCGGTTCCGGATCTTGTCAAAATGTCGCCGTCGTAGCGAGCATTACAATTCGAGTTGGAGCTGCTTGCAAAATCAACGTCGATGATTGGTGTGTTTGGCCCAAGGTTTAGCCGTCCCGGTGTGGGCCGATACATGAAGAGGCAGAGAGGTACGTATCGTCCTTCGTGAGGTGTAAGTGCCCGGAGGTGGATTAAGGTAGGTACCTAGGTAGTACCTAGTACCTACTTCACCTAGGTATCTCAAGCTGCCTCATCTTGAATCCAGAACAGCTCAATCATCGATGTTTCTATGGTTAACTTACGATGATTAGCCTTCTCATAAACCCCCATTGTTGATTGCGTCAAACAGTAACTCGAGTCGGCCACCAACGTAAGAAATTTACTGGTAACTCGATCAAATACCTACCTACACCCCTCGAGAATCGCTTTCTCGCAAAGACCAAAGGGCATTGGGGTGAATGGACCTGTGTTAACAGAATCTCTGCAACTCCCTTCTCTGACCAAAGCTATCCCGCCAACTCACGACCTCTGTCTTCATCACTTACACATAACGCGCTACGAAAACAAGTTTCGTGAATTTGGTGGGACCACATGCTTCCTCTGTTCTTGTACGCAATCTCATACATTCCTCTTGGTATCTCAACCACTGAGCATGTTGTGAATCACGATTCAATTTCAGTAGCTTATGACACAACCTGCTGTGAAGTGAGTAAGTGTTGTTGAACGACGATCAACATTCGTTTTGGAGCCTTAAACTAGAAACCAGATCCAATTGGATTCATTCTATTATGGCACACAAGCAGGATCCAACACGCCGATCTCTACGATGCTGTCAAACAACCGAAACTCAAGTCATCCGCTACCAGATTTGTCTTCGTACATGATCTTTCAGGTGGGACAACCGAAGAGTTACAGCATACTCGATTGTATGTACAAGAGATGCTTTACACTCGCTTCCTCGCGTGCAGAGGTTAAACGAAAGGGTACGATGGTCAGGGCAATATAAGCTTAAAAGGGTTTCGTTGTTTAACCTTCTTTAACCGCAAGACAAGACAACCCCGATTCAAGGTGACTTTGCCACTTCGAATTGGTATAGAGCCTCCCACTTGATGTTTGGGGAAGCACAATTGTGTAGTTCGGCTAGAGGCTTACTTCTGGCAATGAGACATCAACAGTGGATTGGGTACTAAGGTATCACCACCTTTATGCTGTGGTTCTGGAGGCTCATCACACAGGACTACCGATGACAACTGGTCCTGTAATTGCCAACTCACCGGGCTGGGCGCATAAAACCAGTAAATAATTTGCTGGCCATTGATGCGATATCCGTTGTTGTTGTCGTAGGTTTCAGATGGCGGGGACAGAGAAGGAAGTCGGCGTTGTGATGGCTGGAATCCAGTAATGAGTGTAGCTAATTTTAGTTAAGCGGCCTCATCACTCTCTAAAAAAGGCTGAGGAACTACAGCATGTACAAACGGTTCGTGTACGTATGTGTATAATATCAAGCCTGTTCGCATCAATAATTCAGCCACGGTTGTAATTATTGAATCTGTCGTTCATTTGTTTCTGGTGACATACTTCATCGTGAGTTGATAACCACTTGCTCAACTCCGTCGTCTGGCTCGATCTCAGAGTGAGAGACCCTTGTTTCTGACTACTAAACTTGCCCATTTTTAAGAGCTAGGATCTTTCAGCTAATATCTTAGTTCTAGAGCCACTTTGGAAGCGCCAGATCTTAAATGAACTACAGAAAGAGGTAGGTAGATGGCGCACCTCCTTCCTGAGGTTTTCAGCTTGGCTTGGCTTGATACATCTATTCTCTGGTAGGCAATTGCGACTCGTGTGAGCTGGACCTCTTTCCATCTTACAAACAAAGAGAACCTTGCACTGCACTCCCTCTGACTGGTTATACTAAACTCGATCTCTCCCTCTTAAAACATCGATATCTCGGCTTGTCGACAACATCGCACCATGCCAATCGAATCGCGATTTTCGGTGTCGGTTCCTAATTGCTCGATTCAACAATGGATATTTGGCTCGCCTTCAAGGCCATTACCGGATCAGAAGGCTTTCATCGATGCTGATAACCCCGAGCAACGTTATTTCACTTACAACCAAGCTCGATTGTTTGCGAAGCGTATCGCCGTCGGTCTTATCAACAATGGCCTTAAGCCTGGTGATCGTGTTCTCCTCTTCGCTAGTAACAGCTTATTCTTCCCGACTATTGTGATGGGCATTTGGATGGCCGGGGGCATATTCACGGGAGCTAACCCTGGATATGTCACTCGAGAGTTGGTCCATCAACTTCAAGATAGCAAGGCGTCATTCGTCGTTGCCGCGGAGAGTGGCATGGAAGTGGCATTGGCTGCTGCCTTACAGGTTGGTATGAAAGCTTCACAAGTCTTTTTGTTGGATTCGACATGGCCAGATTCACCTGTTGAGACACAACCTAGAGAAGGCAGTCGACACTGGACAGAGCTCATTGCATCCAGGCCAGAGGGCGAGAGGTTCCAGTGGACGGAGCCAAATGATTCTAATGACTCTATCTGCTCTCTCAACTACAGCTCAGGCACTGTAAGTCATTCTTTCAATTTGGTCTTGGTCCTGAACAAGTACCGCGAAGCTAATAACAATAGACTGGGATACCGAAAGGTGTCGAGATCTCACATTACAATCATGTTGCGAATAGCTGCGGTGTGACTCTTTTCCATAAACTCCATCCCGACTACGAAGCTCGCCGTCAACGTGCTGCTGCCTTGTGTTTCCTCCCCATGTATCACGCCTTTAGTCAAGGCTACTTCATCACCAGCTTCCCTTGCGAGCGCGTTCCTGTATATATCATGCCTTCTTTTGACTTTCCTAAGATGCTCGCACACATTCAAAACTTCCGCATCACGAAGCTTCTCGCCGTCCCCCCTATTCTTGTCCTTATGTCGAAACACCCACTTGCACGCCGTGCCGACCTGAGTAGCATCGACATGATTGCATCCGGTGCTGCCCCATTAGCGAAGGATACACAACGCGAGATAGCTGGGATGATACCTAGGGGCGAGAAAGTAGTACGGCAAGGTTGGGGGATGACTGAAGCAACCTGCACCGCATTGTCGTGGGACCCTAACAAAGCTCCCAGCTCTGCGGCTGGTGAGCTGACGCCAGATTCCAAGGCCAGGTTGATTCATATCGAAACTGGAGAGGAAATTACGACTGCCAACACACCAGGAGAACTCTGGATCACGGGTCCTACGGTGATGCGTGGCTACTGGAGAAACCCAGGTGCAACCCAAGGCGCATTTGTTACTGACGCTGAGGGCACTCGATGGCTCCGCACCGGGGACGTTGCATATGTGGAGGAATACGCAAAAGGATCACTCTTTCATATCGTGGATCGCGTCAAGGAGCTGATCAAGGTTAAAGGCATGCAAGTTGCTCCAGCTGAACTCGAGTCTCTCCTACTTGAACGACAAGATGTTGCAGACGCTGCGGTTGTTGGGGTCATGGTCAACGGCGAGGAGCTCCCACGAGCCTATGTCGTCAAATCAACAAACGCAAAAGACACATCTGAACAAGACATCGCAGACTGGCTGGCTAGTCGTGTTGTCAAATACAAACAACTCAAGGGGGGAGTGGTCTTCGTCGACGCTATCCCCAAAGTTCCTGTAAGTCTATCGTCCTTCTCAGTAAGAGGCGTTGCAAGTTTGAGGCTTACATATTCTTACTCAAAGTCGGGCAAGATCTTGCGTAAAGCTCTTCGTGAGCGAGCAAAACGCGAAGTTAGCGACGGCCTTGAGGTGCGCGCCAAGCTGTAGGTCAGCGGCAGCGACGGGCGCGCAAGCTAATATATTGCAACACTTCGCAAATCATAGACTTATTTGCGTACGCGATGATCTACGAAGTACGGGCAAGTCGATAAGGAAGTATGTCACGATATGTGACAGAAAGATTTGTTCTGGCTAGGATCAGACTGAGCAGAGTTTACTTGTATCAATACGTCTGCATAAAATTATTAGTATCAGGGAGGCTGTCTCAACAAGCAACAGTAGCATGTCTCATGGTTTTTGTGCCAGGCGCAATTTTATTTCCATTAATCGTTGCACAAAGGCCTCGTCATGGCCCTTGCTATGAGACATTGTATTTCAGTTTCCATCACCAATCATCATCATGACTTCGTCTAACAGTGTTGAGGGTATCTTCATATCTCGAGCTCTATCAACTCGCCCTCCATCAATTCGATATTGGGCTGGTAGCTTCACACCATCGGCGATCCCCAATATCTCCTGGGCAACCGCTATTCCACATCTCGCTGCAACTGGCATACCATGCCCCGTATAAGCAGCACTAAGCCAGAGGCCACCATCTTCACCGCCTAGAGAAGCGGGTAGTTGGCCAACCCATGGATAGCCATCTTTCGAATAGCCCATAATGCCAGTCCACTCATAAGTAGCTTGAAGAGAAGTGTCCTCGGGTTCTTCTGGTGCCCTTAGCTTGAGGGCCTCACGAAGTGAGGCACGCAATCGCTGAGCTATAGCTGGGTCGATCGAATCGTCCCGCGATAGTCCAACTTGGCCATCGGATGAGCCTAGTCTCTCACCGCCAGTGATAAGTTCACCCGAAGGCCTCTGGACAAGATAGTCGTCTCCTCCATCTGGTGTCCACCACACGTGGCTATGCTCCAGTGGTGAGCTGCCTTCTGAAGGGGTGAGAGCAGCAACTTGACCACGCACGGGAACTATGTACCCAGATAGCTTTGGAATAAGGTGTGAGGTATAAGCGTTAGTTGCTAGGATGACTTTTCTGGCTGTTATCTGGCCACGAGGGGTGTGGAGAACCCACGAGTCACCAACACGCTGGAGGTGATCCACGGGCGTCTTTGTTTGAAGATTGAAGACGCTCGAGGCGTTCGCTTCAACAAGACTCTCAAGAACCCAGCTAACAAGCTTATACGGCCATAACTTAGCCGCGTTAGGCTGGTATATGGCAGCAGATGCCCCTGAAACTCGCAGGTTCTTGAGCTGCTCCTGATCAGTTGTAACCTTGATGTCATCCGCAAGGCCAGGGTTGGTTTTCTTTAGACGATCTAGATGTCGGGTCACGATGTCGAGAATTTCTTGTGAAGGGACGCGGTGCACACCTCCGACTGTCTCCCAGTCACAAGGGATATTGTGCTCTGATACAAGGTCCTTGAGGAAGTTAAAGGTATCAAGTTCAAATTGAGCGACTGGAGCTTTGGAAGCGTAAATAAGGGGCTGACAATGGCCGCCATTCTGATGGCAATCAGTAATCCTGTATAAAAGACTCTTAGCAGACTTAACTCACTCTTCCTGTAGCTCCCCAACACGCCTCTCTTGCCTCGAGAAGCATCACATTCTTACAGCCCCCCTTAAGAAGCTCTCTAGCGGCAAATGCCCCCGTGATACCACTGCCAACGACCACAACATCAGCTGTGGAAGGGAGCTCAGCTGTGGTGCGATGCCCGAGGAGCTTCTCAGAGGGTTTGTGATGCCAGTACGATTTTGTGCTCTCAGTGCTAGGCAATTCGGCCTGTCCTGGTAGTAGCGTGGGGATTGTCATGGTTTAGCTGAGGTGTTTTTATGTATATGCGGGTGCTGATGTGAGACCAGATAAAAGTTTGAGGTAAGTTACGGAGATGTAAGTTGGAAATCTGGTGGGTTATGTATCGAATGTGAATCCGTCTTAGTAAACCCCCGCCTCTGACAGCAGTTTATTGGGGGGCGTTGGCATACTTTTAGATGTATTACGTCGTGCATAGGAGCTATAGATAGACTGATATGATAAAGAGCTGCAGTATCGGAGGCGTTTGGATATCACGCATACACATACAACTTGATACACAGCCAAAGCAAAGTGTTGATTATGAATTGATCGTATCATGTTCATGCCATTTCGTCGTCAGAATCATCAGCAGCTATCAGATCAAGCTCCCCCCCCATCCAGTGACCTTTCAATCCATCCCATTCTGCCTTGATTCGGCAGTGGGCTTCTAAAGTATCCTTCCACTGCTTGTGTGTATGCTTGCTCAAAGAGCCATTACTATAATTTACAATATTCCAGCGTCTCATGTAGCAAATCCTGCACCTTCCAATGACTCGATTCAATCATTTCTCAAAGACAACCGTCTCTTTTTGGCTCCTCCATATGCTGTGTCCAGTGCTGTTGCTCCTCTCTGCTGCATCCTGCAGAGGTTTGCCGGAACTTTTGATTATTACTCCCACCCAATATGCGCTGTAACCACAGCATGTCTAATGCTTTCCGGGGTATTTCGTACACGCAGTCTCGCTGATGAGATGCAAAATATTCAAGCCATCTTCTTGAGGGGGGCACATTCTTCAAACCGTGCTCTCGCTCCCTGTGGCGTACAAAGAAAAGTTGACAAATGAAAGAAAAAAGAAAAAAAAGTTCGGTCCGGGGAACAGTCGTCGCATGCCTAGTAGCGACAGCCTCCGAATCGAAGGTTGAATAAAGAACTCAACAAAACGCCATGGGAATAAATCTCCCACTAATGGCTTCCATTCCTCGTGGTATTCGTGTCGTGTCGTAGTAGCAAATAATGTAGATGTCGTCAGAGCACATAATTCCTCCTGGTCGTGAGTGCTATGTTCCTAGTTCGAGCCAGGTTCTCTAACATCATTCCGGTGTAGTTCTCCCCATTAAAATCGCAAAAAGCTTCTTCTCGGTAGACCTCCAGTGCTATCCAGAGTGAAATGCAACCAGGTAATTCCCTCTAGACGTCGGTCATCTCTGTGTCACTGTCACCACCCTCTGCGATGGAAATAGGGATCAACTCCTCATCAGGTCCCCAGTTTCCTTCATAAACAGTTGCTGGTGCGGCGCGGTGATGACCAACCCATTGCAGGCCCTCAAGTTCCAGAACCTGGTGTACAGTTGGTCGCTCACTGGGCTCTTGGGCCGTCATCCATCGTACAATTAAATCCAGAGAACTGTTGTGGGTGGCATTAACCATGAACTCGGGAGGTTGCAGTAGTTCCGATCGCTTGGATGGGCCAAACAAGTTGCTTGGGTCGTGCGTCTTGCCACTTGTGAAATCATCGCTGTGCATTATCTCGGTAGGGTTACCAGTGGCATCTCGCTGGACCTCAATAGAGGGGTTCCAGGTGAGACTTGGCACTTCGGAAAGATCTCCAGAGCGGAGGGCGATCCAAGTAGGTCCATTGTCAGGTAGGACAACGTTGGCGGCTGTCTCAAGGATGATGAGGCCAAGAGAGAAGACATCGGCGGACTGGCAGGATTTACCCTTGAGCATCTCAGGGGCCATATACTCACGATCGCCCTCAACATCCACGCATTCGGCAGATGAACAGGATTGGGCTAGGCCGAAATCACCAATCTTGAGAACACCTTCGAACGTAACAAGAATATTGGCCGGCTTGAGATCCAGGTGCATGAAACCTGAATCGTGAATATCCTTCAGGCCCTATAGAAATGTTAGTACGCATAGAGCAGAGAAGTGGTTTATAACTTACCAAGCACAGGTCCTGGAGGATTTTGAAGATGCGAAAGTCATCTAGTCGTCCACCTCGTCCGACAGTGCCAAGAAACTTGTCGAGAGTACCCTCTTCGCAGTACTCTGTTTGGATATAGAGATGGTTATTGTAGTCCCAATGATCGAAGTACTGGACCACATGCTCAGAGTAGCTAAGAGTCCTCAAAATCTCGGCCTCTCGGACCTTTGTATCCCGATCCTTCGGTCCCTGGAACGCATGCTTGCTCTTCTTTACAGCATAGACTCTGCCCTTGGTGGGGCTTGTTGTCGGGGTTGTACTGAGGTTGCCAAATGTCATTTGATGGTCCGCCTGAGTGACACGATAGACAACTGAGAATTCACCCTTTCCAATCTGCTCAACTTTGTCAAATCGGGAGGATAGGCTTGCATCAATGTCAATGTTACTAGTACGGGCGTTCACGGGAGTAACAAGGAGGCTGGTAGATGATCGCAAGTCCCGTCCTGCCGTTGGGGTGACGGGAGGTGGCATGTTATCAGAAAAGCCATCGCCAATCTGAGAAATAGATAATCGGCTGGTGTCGAGAGGCAGCAAACTCTCACGTGGTGTTTGCGGTGTTCGTCGTCCATCAAGGGGGCTGGCTGATTCACAGAGTTTCGATTTAGTAAATTTCTCATGAGGAGAACTGAGGGAATGACTCAAAGAAACTGTGCTTAGTTGAGAAGGAGAGTTCAATCCCCGTCGAGCCCTGGAACGGCCAAACGAAGATAGAGGCAGATGCGAAGATGGGGAATACAGACGTCCAGCATCGGTAAGTCGACTTGAATGGTCGACTGTTCCAGCTGGTCCGTCCGTTGTTGGGACTTCCGACTTACAAGTTGCTTCTCGAGGGATAGAGGTGCCGAGGACCGGAGTAGTGGAGTGTAATGTTCGGTTGGCAGTTGGGCTATGGTTATCATGGCGACTCTCAAAAGAGTACTCGCTGACCTTGCTAAGGCTAGGAGTCAAAGTGTTCTTGGTTGGAGTAGGGGGAGCGTCGCCTTCCATGGGCGTGGAAAAGTCAATCGTTTCACCAAAGAGCTTGTGCTCGTCGCCATCCAGGCTAAGGACACTACCGCGACGTGCACTCCTAGAAGCACTGCCACGCTGGAATATCGACATGCCCTTGCCTGGCCTACCAAAACTGGCTGTACTGTTACCAAATGGGGTGGAAGGGAGACCGCCAAAAGAATTCCGGTTGTTACCCCTCTTCTTCATGGCACTCCCAGCCGGTGGAGGGAAAGTAGCGAACGGGTTAGAGTGTTTCTTGCATGGTGTATCGGGAGGGGCCATCTTCTTGTCGGCATCCTCTTCGGGGTTTCGGTTGACCTTGGAAATAAGTCCAGTAGAGTTGAAAGCACCCACCCACAGCTGCGAGTTGCTGGGTGTCGCCATGGCCTTGGACATGTCATTTGGGCGAGTAGGTCGTGTCGCATTGAGAGGCAGAGATCGTGAGAAAAGGTGAGGTCTGGGTCGATCTGGCATTCGGGGCACGGGAGCATAAATAGGTGCTTCCTCGGTTAGGCTGTTTCCTGAAGACGATGTCGTCAGTGTCTTCGATAGAGGATGTGGTTGGTGGGCCTTGTCGCCAAAGAAAGTAGTGGGTGGTGGTTTCGAGGTCGGCGTTGTAGTAACAAAGGGACTCTCTTGAGGCACGGGAGGAGGAACAAATTGGTCCAGAGAAAGGCGAGGTCGACTTCGGACAGGAGAATATTCGGAGCTCATCTGAGCCAGCTGTCGTTCACCGGATCGTTTTCCCCATGATCCTCGCTCCCCGTATCTTTGTTGTAGAGTTGACTTACGTAGGGACGATGACCTCTTAGGAACATTCGTCGTCGCAGGTGTTGGTGAGGGCGCGGGATCGCGGAATGGTGATCCGCTAGTACCCGCAATCTCATACTCGGTAGATGAGTCTTCATGTATATAGAAGCTCTGTGAAGATGTCGTGTTGGCACCAAAGATATTTTGGTCCTCGTTCTGGCCCAGTCCCGATATTCCATGCAAGCTCCGTCGCTTAGCCACCGGGCTTCCCTGGCTCGGTTGGTCCAGATTCATGGTTGCGTCGCTGCGCTTTAATGACCCGTTGTTTGGGACCACCTGGCCATCATTGTTGGAATCAAGAGACTTGAGAAATGAGGTCGGCGAAGATCCAGCGACGTCGAGAGTGAGGCTGCGTCGCTTGACGGGACTGACAGAGATAGGGCTTGTAGCTCCCAGAGCCTTGTTCTCTTGCCCTGATGCATCGATAACCGAGGCCAAAGGTACCGCAGGTAGTGAGTTGCCGCTATCAGGAGCCATGTTGAGTGCCCTCTTAAGGGGGCTCTTGGGAGATGCGCGTGCTCGTGTCAATGGTCTTGAGGGCGATGTCTTACCGGCCTTGGCGGAACGCAACGAGAGCCTGACGCTGGGGCGGAAAGGTGTAAAGGCGGCTGAATGCGGGGCACCGTTGATGTGAGGAGGTGCTGAGCGAGTGTGGGACGGTAGAAGTTGTTGGTTTTGCGGTGTTGCGCCAAATCGACGGCAAGGCGATTGAGGTGAGGTTTGGTGGGGGCTTTCGGGGCTCAGCGAGTTTTGGGAGTTGGAACGCGTCAAGAACTTGGAAGGTGATCGCGAAATAGAGCGTCGCAGAGTGCGGACTGCCGATGTGACGTCGATGTGGTGGGCGTGGGTTGGTGATGGTAGGGCGAGTGTGCCACCGCTGCTGTTCGAGAAGGACATTGTGAGGTTGCGAAGTGCTGCGCGCTGCGGTGATGCGCGAGCAGATGACGCAGTAAGGCTGATGGATATAAACAGTTAAACAACTAGGCCTTATCGATATTTACTGCTAGGGCGACGGGACCAGTGAAGAATGCAGTAGGTGGAATAAAGGTTGCGGACGTTGGTGAGCCAAATGTGCAAGCCGTTAACGGTGTTGCGTGAAATGGCCAAGTCGAAGATGTGAGAAGAAGCTCGACGCGATACCCAACAAATCGCAAAAAGCTATGCCAGTCTCACTCGGATGTCGAAGGTCATATCATGACTCGACAATTGAGAGTAAATCAGACGCTAAAGCGAGGGAGGCAGAAGGCAGAAGTTCGTTGAGTGCAGGCTTCCGTTTAAGTGCCCGAATGGTGATGTCGTCGACAACGCAGCCGGATAGATACCTTAGATAAGAGTGGTTCGATGTGAAATCGCGTTGAGGTTGAGTAAATATGAGTGATTGTCGACAGATACAAATATAAAAAAAAGTGTGAGGTTGAGTAGAGGAGGGAAGTTGGTAGAAGTTGGAACTGCTAAGCAGTTGTAGGAGTAGTCGTGCTGCAGGTGGTAGTGTCGTGTTTCGTACAAGCAAGATGGACGTCCGGGTTGGAGTTGGGGGTGGGCGAGTTGAAGGGACGAACGGGAAGACAAGAGAGTTAGGTCTAGTTAGTTAGTTTGGGTGTGGCAGTTGGACCATGGCGCTCGTGAACGGGCATGGGCTACTGATCCTGACACAAACTAACAAAGTTGTGTGTAAAGAAGAGGCTAATGAAAAGCAAATTGTCCCTGCAGTTGTCGTTCGGTCTTGTCTCTGCTTTTACTTTGCTCTTGCTCGTCAAGTCTTTGTTTTGTGGTTTGTTTGAATCCACAAGCAGCAGAGGTTCAGAGCAATAATACCCGTCGTGTACACACAGTACCCCTCGTGTGGCTGCGTTGAAACCCAAGAACCCTTCCTCAGGGCAGAACGTGGATACTCCAACTGGGGTCTGGTGACTCAGAATATCAGGTCGAAAGGACAACGACTGGTAGTGGTAAGTCAGGCTGGTATGCACTCGCCTGGGCTTTCTTGGTGTCTGTGTTGGAAAGTTGGTGCAGACGACAGTTGACTTGCAAGTAGAAAAGACCCAGAGGGTGTGACAAAACACTAGTGAGAGATAGGACAGGATGGGATGAGAGTGGAAGGGAGGGCGCGCAGGAAAGAGGATGGATGAACAAGACAGCCTGGAGTGAGTGGTTGGAAGAGAGGGTCCGCCATAGACGGATGGGGATAGGGAGCGTGGGAGCCCAGGGATGGCGCGTGTTGGCGCTGGAGGCTAATGATTTGGTGCACGCCCTGTACTGAAAATATGAGTTAGTGGGGGGTTTCCAGTTGTCTACAAGCCTCCCGTCTTTAACCAATATTCAATATATCAATTGATGAGGGACGGGAGAATCAATAGAGCAGTCAATATCATAACATGAAAATAACGCGCGTACTCTACATCAGGGAGGCAAATCTAGTTTTGTGTATCCGTACTCGTCCTCTACCATCCAAAAATCTCTTCGTCATATTAAAGAGGCTGGAAAACAACAAGCTGGGGTAAAGGCGCGCGACAAGTGACACATTTGTTTACACGTTTTCCTAAAGAGGAATAGTGTCGCACGAAAAGACGCGTTTCTCCAAACAAAAGCCAGGGGTGCAATAACATACATACAGACATCAACTCACTAACACACCCTCCAGGCTGGGCCCTGTTAGCGAGTGGCTTCCTCCAAGGATGGCGCCGGGAGCTGGTCCCCGTAACTCAACCCGCTCATGGCCCGTCCATGTTCCATCTCAAGCCTCTGAGCTAGCTACGGATTCTTACTCTACGGAGTGCTCTACTCTACTCTACAACAGGTACGGAGTAGAGTAGCACTGATCTCTCTGTCTCATCGATCAGGGCACGTTCATCGGAACAATCACATTCCTTCGTCGCGTCGTCATATCCCAAGATTCTATCTCCATGTATTGATGCTTCCTCCTCGTCACCCGTAGGTAGGACAACCGACTTATTGAATAACGACGATCGTTGATCGTCAGGGAAAACTTCGTTGCCTGTGACTGAATGTTCCTGTGAACTTGTTGAGCCTCGATGCCTGTTGCGCTAGGACTCTTGTAAGTGAGGGCCACGATATATCCATGGGTAGAGCGAGTCTCGAGTGGTTCCTGAAGCCAACCTCAAACTTCAGACTAACCAGCATCTCTTCTCCGTCTACGAGAAAGAAAGAGGTAAACGGATACGAATACAATAGGAATTACCCACTTGAGAAGAATTCTGGTTCTTTCTCGCTCACACCATCCAGGTTGAAATGGCCTCTATCAAGACCAAAGTTCGTGTGGAAATCTTAATCAAGAGACTGACATGTAAGTCGGACATCCAAAGCCCTTGTTCGTCGATACCCCCACTGGGCGCCTCTCAGCGCCAGTGCTCAGGGGTATTCCCGTCCTTCAGACGCTCCTCTGATGAGGCTCAAGCCATCCATCGCAAGCCACCTCACCCCTGAGACCTCCCCTCAGGGCCAGGGACTTCTCTGTCCTTTCCAGCCAGGGGAGATCCCATGGCACTGGCAGTTGGCATGGAATGGCGCCCGTTGGACTGAAGATCGCCTCTAACATGGCATGGAATTCTGGTGGAATGGCATGAGGTCAATTCTTGGTGGCGCAAAAAAGACGAGCGCTTCTGCTGGTCAGTCTCGAGGTCGCAGTTGTTGTAGGACAGCAGCATCTACTTAGACGCTGGAGTAACTGTCCCAAGATAGATCGAAGGTCGCAGCACGGGCACTTGCACTGGCACTCGCAGGTTGCAGCGAGTCCAAAGCAAGATACGATTGGGACGGGGGGTTGGGGCCGCCGTGCCTAGAGCCCACCCGTTCGCTGGCTCCCGTCCCCTTCAGACCATTCAGCGTCATGATCGTCGCCGTCACTTGCTGGTGGGCATGCTTTATCCCGGGTCCCATCACTTGCTTGCTTCGTCCAGGACTGGGCTACCTCGAATGAATTGTGTTGTACACGCTGTACAACAGAGACAACGTCAGCCCTGGCTAGTCAATGGGTACAGTCACTACAGCTTGGTTTTCGTTACCCTGCGAGTTCCTCATACCAGCCACTTCCAATGGATGAGTCTTCTCTCCTTCTTCCAGCCGCTCAGTGGCCCTCTTGTTCAGGCCCTCTCTGCCTCCACCAGCAGAATCAGTAGCAGTCATGACATGGCCATACCAGGCCAGGCCAGCTCATCGCATCAGGCACAGGCACCTCGAGGCTAGCATCAGCATCGGCGTCAACCATGTCCTGACCTACATCCCGATTCGCCGGCCCCTCTCATGACGCGCAGGAAATCTTCCCATTCTGATCAAAACAAACAAACGATTTACTTCCCCTATCCTCTTGTGCACTCCCCCACTAGCTGACGGTGGTAATTTGAGCTTTAATTGTGCTCTTTATGCCAACCAGCCCATGTCATCTCGCTTCTTATGAGTGAGTCCGGGGTGGCCCCCACTATATGCGAGAGGGCACTGCGCTAACAATTCAATTGTGTGCGCTCGCCTCGGGGAGCAAGAAAACAACAGATCTTGATATGGAGTGTCAAAATAAACTTAGTAAAAGTCATCCTAAGCTTATGCTATATTACCTAAATCTTTTTGTCACTTAGGATCGAGGTCCTGAGTTTTCTTTCTTCCCCTAGGCTCGTCAGTTGTTGGGCCTGCGTGTGGACAAGAAGAGGCACAAAAGCCCTGCTCATAAGCCTGGGGCCTGGGCCAGAGGGACCACAAAGCGCATCAAATCGAAAAGCTACGCATCGTACTTTTGAGATTTGAAGCTCCTAGCATGTCGTCCATCTAATCAACTGCCAATCAAGGCCATCAATCGGCATTGCCTCTACCGCTGCTGCTCCGTGCTTCTTGATCGGGGGTTTTAGATCAACTCACATATCGACTTACGCGGAGCACCATCGTTACTTACACTAACATAATGAGAGATGCTTCATTGTTCACATCCTACGTACAGATCAGCTCAACTCAATTCACTCACATGCATCCCCCGCGGTCGCATATTTTACACTAGACAGGGGATGCAACTGGCTGTGCACAACATTCAGTGCCAACTTTGTTGACCGCCTGACTTGGTTGCATATTTTATGGGACATCGCTGCAGCTAGCACGCCGCTGAAGCACACCGCACAAGTCTGCGGCTCTGTGAAATGAACCCCTATGCAGTTCATATTATAAAGGGCCGTGTAAGTGGCCTCTGGCGGCAGCGGTCTACATCTTTCAGCGCAGCTTCGCCAACTTCGACATACTCCCGAGCCCCTATTCGCAAACTATTTCCTGTAGGTGGTAGCCGTTGTCCTGTTGTTGCGATGCAAACGCACGATGCGTTCAGGCGTGATGAAACAAAGCAAGATTTTGTTACAGCCGACACATTCGAGAACTTGGGCGACATTAGTTAGCATGTAGTCGAAATTAAGCGCTCGGATAAAGGATGTAGATATCGAATTTATTCATGTGCGTTAAATGTTGGTCTTGCATAAGAGACCGTCGAGAACAGAACCAACTTGAACCCAAGCGCACCGTTATCCGAAACGGAAGACACAGACATACGCCATGACGCAAAGTGGCTTCATTCTCATCTTCCTATAACTGCGGCCAAGTGGGCTATGACTACCCTGTAGTGTTCTAGAGTTCGGCGTTATTGGGCTTGGTGACCTGCTGGCCTCAATAATGGGCCACGCTGGCAATGTAAAACGCACCTCGACGGGCCGTCTGCTTGCCTGCTTCTGCCGGTGAGGTTTCGGTGCAGCGATGCAATGCTTCAGTGGACTCGGGATAGGGCGGATACTGCATGAGAAAGCGTTGCATATACTATTTGATTGGACAATTGGACACCACATTCGCAAGGGAGTCAGCGAGGGGTACGGTAACTTTGCATGTCAACTCCAGCCTTTGACCAAAGTCTCATATGCACCTCTCTGTGAGGGAGGATCGAGATGAGCGAATTTTGCATGCCAACTGAGGTGGGTGATCCTGAGCACGTAGTCTTCTGGCATCAAATCTTGGTGAAGCAATTCCAGTACCGTGTTCTGCTTTTTTCAATTCAACAAGCCACATTCTGGGCAAAATCCAGCGTCTCTCTCAAGATTCCCCACAAAGGCATAGCAAGGGATTATAGTGAGACGGCCGAGATACCGACGATCTAATAAAGTTCCATCTTCTCGAGATGAATCAGACCATTAGGCGGCTAGATCTGAGTCAGTATCAAACTCTCAAAAAGCAGCAGTGAATGACAGAAGTTCGTCCAGATCTGGACTCGAAGGGAGGGTTCATGTACTCACTGGTATGAACTGTCTCAGCTTCACGCCAGCCTCCCTAAACACCCGGGCTGTGTCGTTGTCCATGCTGTATGTGTGAGCGTAGACAACCTCGCTAATGCCCACCTGGCAGATTTTGATACTGCATGTGAGGCAGGGACACGTGTCGCAGTATAGGACAGAACCCTCCCGTATTCTTTCTCGTCCCGCTTCCAAGAGCGCGTTCTCTTCGGCATGGATACACAGGCAAGTCGATAAGCCCACTCCGGAGCTGTTGCCGTCATTGCACCTTGGGCAGCCTCCTTCAGTGCAATTCTGTAGTCCCCTTGGAGTCCCATTATAACCGGTGCTAATGACCCTGCGTTCTTTGCCAACAAGCACACATCCGACTCTACGCTTCATGCAGTTGGAGCGTTGTGCAGCAAGGGATGCCAATTCCATAAAGTAAGTGTCCCAGCAAGGGCGAAGACGATCAGGATTTGGGATGTCCAGCTTGCCAAGGGTAGCATAGAGGTGCGCTAGAGAGGATGATGTGTTGAGTAGTCTCACAACAGCACGCGAGATAAGGGGTGAGAGGCCTTTCTCTGCGTCGTATAGGTGGGTATCACTTTCTGTGACAAAGTCTTCTAGACTCATGTCAGGCTCTCCCGCATGCCTCTGCCTCGCGCGGTCCTGGAACCGTCGCCAGCGGACCGTCAATGGCGCATCGACGGACAGCAAGAGGAAGAAAGGTCGACGAAGAAAGACGTCTAGAACTGCCTCGGTGGGAATGTCAGTAGTGACAAAGCGGCTGCGCCAGCGTTTCGTCACAAAGTCGAGGAGTTCCTCAGCTGTGGAAAACACGTGTTGCGGACCATCCCGGAGAGTCAGCGTGGTTTCAGAAGAAGACTGGTAACCATTCTTCGTCGTGAGCGCTGTTGAGGTCAGAGCGCCTTTGAAGGCTGTCGAGTCAGTAGACTGTGATGGAGAGTCTGCACCATGTTCCTCGGGTGAAGCGGATTCGGCTCCAAGCGAGGTATTGGACGGTCTTGGCCGGGATTGTGGCTGTAGATGGAGGAGTTTGAATCCATGATGCTCAACGAGATATTGGGCCACTGTCTTTTTGCCGGAGCAAATACCTGATCTATGTGAGTTTGTGACTTGACATGGGAAGTTTGGGATATGCTCTTACTGCCGCAGACGCCGATGAGCATACTGTGGTTCGATGCTGTTTTTGTCCTGGAGTTAGTAGAGGCAAAGTCAGGAGCAGGCTTTGGATGATGGATGTATCATGCCTCACGTTGGGATTTTTTGAATGGCCATTTAACGCGTACGGCGACTATTCTAAGCGCGTCGCGGAGTGTGGGGGTGCACTGTTCCCAGCTGTGACCGTTGTTGTTCTAGAATGTCTACGGAACGCTTTGAGAAGTGTCGCAAACTCAACTTTGAAGGCGGCCGACAAGTTGACAAAGTACCTATGTTTCTCCATCTTACGAGTTATCACGAACATCTCGATCTAGTTAGACATTTCATATATATAGATGCTGTGAGTTATGATCAAAGCGTGCATTCCAACAGTCCGAGAAAGCTTGAACCCTTGAATGTTTCAGACACAAATCTCTCGTTAATGAGATGGCGTCCTTACGAAGAGGGTCACATTCTTTAAGTGAATGGTGGAGATAAATCTGAACGGGTGTATGCTGGATAACTTCCGATACACCGAGTTTGTGGTTGTGAAGAACGTGTTTCCCCTGTAGCTGAGGTGATGGTAAATGAGTCCGAAGGGGTCATTGTTTGTAATGGAAGGGAATAACTGGGTTTTAGATATCGATTACCTTTTCTCCGTAAAATTTGAAGCTGGATTACTGACGGTGATACTTCGTTGCTTTTTGGCAAGCCATTTCATATCATCGTAGCCGGGAAGTCTTCAACGGGATGACATCCATAGCGTCGATCTAGGGTATGGATATGACAACGCTTTATATAGACATAACCATGACTCTACCATGACGATGTATTAAGAAAACCAAAGTAGAATACTATGAATACTGCCGTTTTCCTTTTGATTTTACATGCGCTTCCGGACTTGCACGCACGATGGCCGCATTGCAGGCAGCGAACAACATCACACGACTTCCACTTACCCTATAACGACCTGTGTCCTGGGATTACCTTATGTGAGGGACGTCTGTTGGCGATAAGACCTGGTCCGATAGGAGGCTGCGTGACGCCGCCCAGTACCCCGCGGTGGGGCTAAAGGGAGACAAGAAAACGTAGGATATTTATCCTGAATAGTAAAAAAATGATCTAAATGCCTCCTAAACTTACACTAAAGCTGTCTAAGTATTTTTATCACTTAGAGTCAAGATCCTAAGTTTTCTAACGCCCTGCCTAGCTACTAAGGTAGGTATGACCTAAGTTAGAGCTCCACCTAAGGTCACCAGTGATGGTCACTTATCCGTTCAGGTGAACCTTCCATAAGATCACTGAATAGGTACACATAACTCTACCTTATATTGGAACATTAGCATAAGCAGTGATGATCCTATGATCGGCCGGTATCAAGAACCATCAGGGTTATCTGCGTCAGAGACGCAGTTGCTGCCTTAACCAAGAGATATAAATACCCAAGGTATCAGCAGCTGAGACGAACCTTCCTCTTTCAACCTACCTACCCAAGCGCCTGCCTCACCAGCGTCATACGAACCTGGAACCTTCACGATGACGGCCCCTCTGCAATTTGCGCCTTTCGTCCCAGAGATCGAGTTGTCGTTCTACTCGGCACTCTTTGCCTCGAAACTTGAGCATGATAAGCTCGACGACTCAGCGCGGCGCATTCTTGGTCTCTATGAACCCCGCTTGGAAGAACCAGAGTCCAGCTGCCGCATGCAGATATTAGGGAATTCCCTCACAAGCAGCAGGTAGGTCCGCTGTTTGATTTATGCACAGTCCTTCTCTGACCATGGCAGAACTAATGCGCCCAGTCCGCCTCTTGGGACAATGAGGGCCGAGGGAATCATTAGGAACGTCAATACACTTGAGGATTTCAAGAATACAGACATGCCTGCTATGCTCAAGACTGCTGGCCGACAGGTATATACGAGCCCACCGAGACTGGAGCACTGCTGACAACTAGCTCTAGATCTGGGATGCGATCAAAGATGGTAGTATCTACTCTGTTCCATCCCTGCTTTCGTCATTCATCATACTCTCATACGCGGACCTGAAGAAGTACAAGTTTAAGTACTGGTTCGCTTTCCCTGCTCTGCACTCTGATCCTTCGTGGAAGCGATCCGGCCCAGCCGAACGTCTCAACTCCATGGAGAGCACGGCGCTTGTTGACAGGGTAGGAACTTGGAGGTACAGTGTCGACTCCCGCGAGCATGGCTTCTTTTTGGTCAAGAAGGTACACGGTGAAGAGAAGGATACAGATGATCCGGAGTCTTCGCAGGGACTTCCTTTTCGATGGGAAGTTGCCTCACTGCGAGAGTTTGAGAATGGCTTCTTCGACCAGGTGGCTGAGGGGGACCGTTACGTTGCGTTTGTTGATCCTTCGACTTACCCAGAAGGCCCTGGATGGCCCCTGAGAAATTTCCTGGTCCTTATCCGACAAAGGTTCCATCTGACAAAGACAAAAGTGATCTGCTACAGAGACATCCAGGCAAAGAGACACGAAGCTCGCAGCGTTATTCTTCCAATCGACATGGATCTAGTCGAGAACTTAGAGATCACTGAAATGCCCAAGGTTACTGGCTGGGCACGGTCGAATAATGGCAGACTCCAGGCACAGCAAGTCAACCTAGGAGAGTATATGGATCCTGCACGACAGGCTGATGGATCTGTCGATCTGAACCTGAAGCTCATGAAATGGAGGATCGCCCCTGAACTCGACCTAGATGCGATTAAGAATACGAAGTGCCTGCTACTTGGCGCTGGTACGCTGGGAAGTTATGTCTCCAGAAACCTTATGGGCTGGGGTGTCCGGAAGATAACGTTTGTGGATTACGGGCGAGTATCATTTTCCAACCCTGTCCGACAGCCACTTTTCAACTTCCAAGACTGCCTCAAAGGAGGAAAAGCGAAAGCACCTCGAGCTGCTGAAGCATTGAAAGAAATCTTCCCAAGCATAGATAGTGAAGGGCACACGCTGTCTGTTCCTATGCTTGGTCACCCTTACATAGAAGAGTCGAAGACTAGAGAGGAATACGAAAAGCTGGAGAAGCTCATTGACGAACACGACGTCATTTTCCTCCTCATGGATTCAAGAGAGTCTCGATGGCTGCCAACGGTCATGGGAAAGGCCAAAGGAAAGATTGTCATGAACGCTGCCCTTGGCTTCGATTCGTATGTTGTTATGCGACATGGCTCTGAAGGCCATGCCGAAGGGCAGGCACCGCTTGGTTGCTATTTCTGCAACGACGTCGTGGCCCCAGCTGATGTAAACTTCACTTTCCACTTCCTAGAGCGTAACTAACACATTCTTTTAGTCTCAAAAGGACCAGACCCTGGATCAGCAATGTACGGTCACTCGACCCGGTGTTGCAGCGATTGCGTCTGCCCTTCTTGTCGAGCTTCTATCAAGCTTGTTACAACACCCCCTAGGTAAAGATGCACCAGCACCACAGCCAAGTCCAGGAGTAATTCCAGAGCGAGACCCACCTGACCATCCCCTGGGTTTGATTCCGCATCAAATAAGGGGCTATGTCTCGACATTTCAGAACATTGTTATCCGTGGCCAATCTTACGACTGTTGCAGCGCATGCAGCCCCAAGATTCTTGATGCCTACCGCAATGACGGATGGGACTTTGTGAAGAAAGCGTTGCAAGAGAAGGATTATGTGGCAGAGCTATCGGGTCTAGCCGAGGTGCAGCGAAGAGCAGAGGAGATGGCTGCCCAGGTTGACTGGGATGAGGACGACGACCTTGTCGAAGATGGTGACGGAGAGCTAATCTAGGGTATACTGGTCTAGAGGCATTCCGAGTTATAGTAAATTTCCCTAAGTTTACCTCAGTTTAACTCAGTTTATATTATTTTACCTTAGACTACCTAAGCCTATAATAAATTTACCCAAGTTTCCTAAATTTGCCTAAGTTTGCTAAAGTCTACCTTAGTCTTTTTTATTTTAGGCTGACAGATTCAAACAATATGTGTCGAAGCGGACATGTTGTAAATCTGCAGAGGGACATTCGGAGTATAACTCGGCGTATTTGGGGGGTTCATGAGATATTGCCAGGGAGCCGTTTCATTGCAAGATAGAGTTCTCAAGGATGGCGATCGCTAAAGTACCCCATATCGTTGATACATCATGCATGGGACGATTCGTGTAAGTGAGGTAATCTGAATATCAAGCGGGGTGCTTGAGATAGACTGCGAATATTGAAGACAATTGGCAGTGATCATAAAAGAAAGAAGGTTTGAAGTTATAACATATGGAATTATGTAGTTCTAGAAATTTATCATATGTAGTCGTAGATGGGTTGCTTTAAGCACCCTTCCTGCAATGCACCTCAACGCCTTTCCGTGCTATGTACAAGTGACTGTGCATTGTCACAATTGGCCCCAATGTCCAAGTATCCATGCGTGTATGTGTGCATGTGTTTATCGAGTAGTGATGTCGTCGAGTCTTGCTCGGTCGATGCCTATCCAAGAGAGTGGGTGTTTCTGTATCTCTATCCTTTACAATCTACCGTCGAAGGCATACTGGGCAGCGAGGGGCCAGCCGAGGATGACAGTGAAGCCAGGGAAGAAGCTGAGACGGTGTTAGTCGATATGGTATTGGCAAAGACTTAGATGTCAGAGCAACTTACAAGAGAGCTTGGCTTCCAACTCGCTTGAACATCTTGGCGTAGTCGGGCTTAGCAGGCTGCTGAGTGATGGGAAGACGCTCGAATGGGTGAGACTCCATGGCTCGGCCAGCGTTTCGCATGGCAGTGAGGAGAGAGAATTGGCGGCGCTGAACAGCGCGGGCGGCAGATCGAACAACGATGGGAGACATGTTGATTGAAGGAGTTTAGAGGAGTTGAGTTGGTGTAAGTGGTTTGGTTGAGTTGAGTTGTTTTTTGAGGTGAATCGGTTTCAAGTTATCCTTGGAGAAAACCCAATAGTAATATACCCAAAGAATTGAATTGAGTGGTGAAGATGCTTGTTGAGTGGAGAGTTGTTATTGCTCAGTTGATGCTTTAGATGCTGATGGTGATGAGAGAAGAGACTATCTTTGGGGACGAGATGGCATCCTCTTATACAGAATTGTGATGCCGATCATTTTTCACTAAAGATCAAAAATTTGGTCAAGGATTCCTTCAAACGGCGACCTCCCATAACCCGTGCAGCCGGATACATCCATTGTGGTCAGATTTCATCTGGTTTGGCGACCATCATGCCACTGTAGAGACCTGGATCCTGGGGTATTAGAGGGTGTTTTGACAGCTGGCCAATCACGTCTCACCGTAAACCATCAGTCAGCACAACAGCCCAGAGGTGCATGGCACGATTTCTAGGGCGTCGAGGGCAGTGGTGGTGCGATTCTGATTTGGCCGGCGGGGACCGGTGACGCTGGCGATTGGTCAATTGGCACACCCTTACCAACACCCTGTTTCTCCCGTCAACACTTCGTCGTTATCGACTGATTCTGAAGGATCCCAAAAAAGGATCTTAGAAGTTCTGGATCCCAAAGGAAGCAATGACCTGCGCTGTTTCCGGGGAACGGCGATGAAGCAAGTGGTTGCATTCGTGAGCCTGGGTTGCAAATATTAATAACACCAGGGTTTGCCATGATATGATAGTCATTCAACCACTCACGAGGCTCTCATGCTTACCCCAAAATGCACATGCCCATGTCGTTTCTAGTCGCGTTCTAGGTTCTGGCCTAGATTGACAGGACAGCCCAGATTTGATCGCATGAGATCCAGATGATGACAACCATGCCATGATTGATTGCCCTGGCTCTCGCCGATGCCGCTGCCGCTGCCGATGCCGATTCTGGTTCATTCGTTCCCGTGGTTTATTCTTAGTCTACCTATTCCCGTGCCGATGGTAGACCTCTTTCGGAGAATTCTAGCTCAAAAGGAGTCATCCAGTTGGTGTTGTGATACCATGAGCCAACAACGCGGAGTAGAGAAGTTTCGGAGCCGAACGTTAGGCCGGCTTTTAATGTCATGTGACCTACAACGTGATTTGGTGTCCAGCTACAGCTGTCAACTCAAGCTAAGCTAAACCACCCTGTTGGCGATCGCGACGAGACAAGCTACGAGCGATTGCTCAATACACACTCCTTTTACGATTCTCGTCAATGCCACTTGTCGACCCCGTCACCATGTCGACAACACTTGTCAAGAGCGGGACCGCCGCCCAACAACCCGCACCCAAGGCCGCCGTGCCCGCGATTCCGCTCGTCAATTCTCCTGCCGCTCTGCCCGCATCAGTCGCTCATCAGCTGTTGCTCGCTGGTCTGTTCTACTGGCGCTTCGATGCCCTGGTGGCCGATCCCGTTTCGACTCTTCAGACTGGCCTCCCAGTTGTTGCTGCCATTCAGGCTGTCTATCTTGTACTGAGTCTTCCACCAGCGGGATCCTCGGGGTCTTCCAAGAAGCCTCGTCCTGGTGAGAAGAAGAAGTCGGATGGACGGGAGGCAAAGGCTATTCCTGTAAGTAGATATGTTGTGCGTGGAAGTCACGAAACTAATGCCAATGGTATAGACCGCCGTTATTTCATTGCTCCTAGCTCTAATCCTGACACCGGCTCTTCATCTCCTCCTTGTCCTCTTTGGCGCGCCATTCCTTACACACGTCCCTCATACATTCTTGTGCTGCGCACATATCGCCGTCCTCGCGATCTATCCTGTCTTCTACGTTCGTGGTTCTGACCCCGTGCCTCTCCAGGCTGTGATGGGTGTATCAGCTCCATTTGATCAGACATTTGGCGGCTTTGTTGGAACAGTGGTAGGAGCTTGGCTTGGAGCTGTTCCCATTCCTCTTGACTGGGATCGCGAGTGGCAGAAGTGGCCCGTCACCATTGTTGTCGGTGCTTACATTGGATATATCGTTGGATCTCAGATCTTGGGCACCGTTTTCTTTGGAAAGCGCTGGGAAGTAACTGCTGAAATCAAGGAGGAATAAGCCATTGGTTCATGATAAGAACGCTAGCCCTAAGGTATTCTAAGATGCCCATATGACAGGTCGCCCGAGATTTATGGCTTTGGGTACATTGTCATGTACTATGGCAAAAAGTTTGATATAATGAGATCATCTACTATCATAGCGATAAGAACATGTACATAATAATGAATACTGCATTGGCTTGCCGCTTCTCCACTGATAAAACACGAATTCATAGCCCTGGTGAATAGATACCTGTTTACTGTGCTATTGCCGAAAGTAATTTCCTTCATGCCTCCATTTCAACAGTGCAGCTCATTATGTTGTCTAGGGATGATTCGAGGTAGTACATGTGAAATACACTGTACCCTGTTCGAGATCTAGGTCTTCCATATCCTCAGTATATTGCAGAATTTAGGTGATGGACACTGAAACTATGCTAGATCGTTGATTTAGCCATTATTTGTGGTTTCTCATATAGTATAGACAGCCTTCTGCATGCATGACACTATCAGATCAAGTCTCAGCATACGTAAGAACTAGTTTTCCCTCAATATCTCTAAATCAACTGGCCCTTGGCGGTCGTTCTAGTTGCCTTGGCTCAGACGTAATTGGTGTATACATGGTTGGGCGAATCGGACGTATGTAAAGTCATGTTCATTTGCTGATGGCCTGTAAAGGGCCGCCATATTCAGAGGTTACCGGCGGAACAAACACTGATAGCTGAAAAGTTACCTGACATACGAGAGGATAGTATTATCAAACCCGATTAACTTACAATGCCGGCACCGAGTTCAATAGTCTGACGAACGCCGTTCTGACAATTTGACTACCTCCATTGATTGACTGGAACCACTGGATAGAGAAGGGTGATGCTCGGCTTGCGTTTGCCAGTGCGAAAATCCTCTAGGACTGATCGCCATTGGGCGAACCGTATTCCACAACCCTGTAGGTTCCGGCACAGCTGGGGGCCTGGGGCCAAACTCTACAATCCCGGATTATTGATGTGTTAACACTGATATCATCGTATCATCTTCTGAGATCATAACCCAAAGTTAGACTTTGAGACGGATTCATCCTTATCGCGGCGCTTTGTCGAAATGGGCGCTGGCGTCTCGTCCTCTCTTGGCCTTCCACCTAGCAAGTCTACAGTGCCGGTGAGGCCGTGATAGAGGGCTTGGAAGTTGGAACTTCAGTTCATGCTTGGCACTGACGCGTGCGCTCGAATCTTCTGAAACATGAGATTAACCAGCCAAGAGCCAAGTTGAGCCAGCGGAGACCATGACAAGCCACGTCAAAATCAGGTTAATCTAGAACCTGCAGGCCATCTCGGGCGCTTATTCCCAGAGCATGACCCAAGAAAATATTAGCAACAATCATGTTTCCCTTTCAGGCAGGGCATTTTCAATTGACCCTGTTGTAAGGGCTTGGGAGTCGGTAGACTCGGCATCTTTTACTGATAGTCGCCCAGTAACGTGCTGACTACGACAATTGGGTGTCAGGTAATCTTGCTTGTCAGGCACACTGCATAACATCAAGCATCAATTCTCGAACCATGAACCGCCAGTTACGATATCAGAGAGGCTCAGCGTGGCCACAGCACATGATACACAGATCTATATCGAGATTCGAGGTTGGATTTGGCATCGAGAATGAAGGATTGCGATAACTCAGCCACAGCGATTAACGAATCCTTCCATCACATCGTCAATCACTTCGCTAGGATCAAGTCCAATTGGCGATTGATTGAGGCTCGCCCCAGCCACACTGCGGCATTCGCCTCATGACGTAGCCCGAGAAACCTTGTCAGTTCCGTGACAAGTTGGCTGGGGGTGATGGAAAGGAAAGCGAACTCACTTAC